TAAATAAATTGAAGCTTTACATGACTGTTCAAAGCTTCACTTGTTCAGCTGGTATTACAGTTTGTTAGCTAAACTAATAAGAAAGCAAGGTGCTTTGAAAGATGTCAATTTCATATTAACTGGAAATGCAGAAAAGTAGTTCTTATCTTATATAAAGCTTGCATCTGCTTTAACTGCTTTTTCAGCGCAGCTCTTTGTGTTTGTTTCAAATGGAAACAGCTTTATGCTTCAAGTTACTTTCTTAATAAAGTTTTATTTTGCAATATAATAATAGCTATAATTCCTATATTATTTATTGTATTATTATTATAGTCAAAGGGGCAACCCTTGACTTTCTGCTGTATTCATATGTTTTCAATGCTTTCTTCTGCCTGATTCTCATGCTCTCTTCATATTATCTCGCTTCACTCTTTCTCTCTCACTCTCTCTCTCGCTCTCTCATTTACTTCCTCTCTTATTCCATTTCACTCTCTCTTTTACTCTCGCTCTAGTTCCCTATCATCTCTAGATCTGAGCTGCCTGATTCTCTCCCTTCCTCGCATCCTTTTTCACTCTCTTTGTATCTCTCTTTCTCTCCTTCTTATCGCCTTTCTCTATCTCCATCTCATCCTCTCATTATCTATCTCTCTATCTCTCTCTTTCTCTGTCTTGGAACCTATTTTACTTTCACTTTCTCTCTCTCATCCTCGTTCACTCTCTCTCTATTAATCTATTACTCTCTCCGTCTCTCTCTAACTCAAATTTGTTACACTTGTTGCTCTCTCCATCACCATCTCTATCCTCTGCCTGATTTTCTCTTTGAGGCCTTATCACTTTCTCTTGCTTCCTCTCTCCTTCAACCTCTCTCTCTCCCACTCACTTTCTCCCCTTTTCATCTCAGTTCACTCTCATCAAAGTTGCCTTGACTTACCCAATTATAATTGACCTCAATGTGCGAGTCAAAGAAGACCATAACCTCACCGGTGGCCACCTTGGCGCCCGCTAAGCGTGCTCCGATTAGGCCACGTCGCTCGGGATTGTGGACGACGTCCACCAATTTGGGCCACTGTAGGGCGACATAGTCATCCAAGTGTTTCTTGAGCGTGTCCCATTCACTGCCATCGTCGACGAGCACAATCTGCTTGAGCAGCTCGGGCGGCGTGCGATTGACGATGCTGTAAATGGAGCGGAGCAGCGTCTGGAAGTGCTCGTTGTAGAATATGAAGATGACGCTGACGTTGGGCAGCTTGGCCAGATATTTGCGCGTCTTGCAACTGCGGGAGGAGAAAAGAAGAGCAGAGAAGATCTGAGTAACTGAAGTACGAATGCATTCGACCTGAGCTTACGCCTCTTTTCGCACATCGGGAACTGAGCGATTCACCGAGATTCGGTCGGAGAGGTAGCCATTGAAGCCATTTCTGCGGTACTCCTGCTGCTCCAGCTCCTTCTCCGAGGGATCCACGCTAGCCGGCTGGCCGTGCTCACCCAGGCCGACGCGCGCCTTGTCCGCTTCCATTGCCTTGTAGTCGTGCCAGTCCTTGCGCTCGCCCAGCGGCGTTGGCAGCGTAAACATTTTCAATGTCTCCGGCTTGGTCGTCTCCACTGGCTCAACGTGCCCACCATCGCGCACAGAGTTGCGATCCTGAAAGGGCGGACGGGCTTGTCGACGTGTCGGCTCCACATTGGCGGCACGGAATTGCGGCGTTATTGGATCCCCATTGGGATCCAAATTACTTTCGTCCACCTCCTCCGATGGCTTCGCTTTGCTCAGACGCTTCTCCACAATCACCGTGGTCAGCAGCGAGATGAAGGCGATGATCATTATGAGGAAGATGAGCTTGCGCATCAGCCGCTTCACCTGGCGCTTCTTTAAGGCCATGGCCAATACGTTGTGCTGCTGGGAGGCTATGATTCAGAATGGTTTCGGGCCCGAGCGGCCAGACACGTTGAGTCAACTGCAACTGCGTGGCATCGATGTCCATTAATCTAATTGCAACTTTTTCTAACATATTTTGGTTTTTTTTTTATTTTTTTTTTTATTTTTTTTATTGCCTGATAAGTTATTAGTAACTGAAGTTCGAGCCGCATGAACATCGTTCTTCAATATCAATCAGAGAGCTATCTATCTCGTTCCAAGGCCCAACTAACTGTAAATCAGCTGCCAACTACTTTTCACTTCCACTCACCTGTTTCGAGTACGATGCGAGCACTTTGACGCTTACGCCATCTGGCGGAACTAATGCGAACTTATCAAAATGTATTCGACGCGCTGATAATGCCACCTACACTGCAAGAAAAGATATAGTAATTAATGATTTTACATTATAGAACTACAGTTTTCTTTTTGTGTTTCTATATTTTAATACAAAAAATATTAAAATTTTATATTTTATCGTCAACTTCTCACCTTGTTGAGCCGTTACAGCCGGGTTTATGGTTAATAATAATTTATTTTATGCATTTCGTTGGCTCGATACGATCAATGTTTATACATCATTCTGCAGATGTTGCACTCAGTTTACATTGGGGCGCTTTTAGCTCAATGACAGCTGTGTCTACACCACTGTACCAACAATTCTAAGCAAATACACTAACACACTCACACACGCACGCACGCTCACACACGCGTTTCGCATTTAAACGCATATTTATTGTACAACGCGGCGTATTCGCAATAAATTCTCACAAAATTTCGACGCATTGTGGCAATAAAATGACATTTTTTCATATTTACACACATAAAGTCAATGCCAAAAACGCAGCCGTGAAGCACCAGTTCAGTTAGGCGGTAGAGGTAGAGGCAGAGGGCAGAGTAGAGTTCGTGTTTTGCTTTTTTTTTTTCTTTTTTACAATTTTTTATAGCCTTTGCTTTCACATGATGTGAAATAGACATTTTTATTTTTGCATGAAGATATATGTATATATATAACAACAAAACTGTATGCCTGATATGAAAGCTGAAGTGCGAAAATTAAGTAAAATATACCAAATATCTAATGCTCTAATAAGACAACAAAATATACTGATAAGATTTCGTATATCATATTTAAGATGTGCAACAGATCTTTAGGGTTGGCATTGAATCAGATGTACGTTACGAGTTGCATTTAAAATTAGATATGCCCCATTGTGAGGCACACAGAAAACCGAACAAATACAACTGTGCCAGTTGGCCACATTTGACAGCTGCGGCTGCTTGTTGTTGAGGCTTTCAGTTGGGCTTCTGCTTTTGGCTGGTTCAACTGCCAAAATGTTGTCGCGGCTAAAAGCGCAGCAGAGCAATAAAAGCCAAATATTGTAAAAACAGAAACATTTTCAACGGTAACAAAAATGATAAAATATAAATGTAACAGATCTGTATATATATTACTATATATATTCACATTGATTTTATAGTATTTAAGCATTGTTAGCAATCTAATAAAATTATCTAAATTGGCTAGTAATTAAATTAAAATATTATTTGATTTAGGCATACGCACAATGAAATAATTAGTATAAATACAGCTGCTGCTGCTAATGGGGTTTATATTTAGATATTTGACAGCTATTTGTGTGTATTTATCTTATCTTTTAATTATTGTTATTTGTTGTCACGCAAGTCTGTTCAGTGTATTGTGTTATCTATCCCTCAATGTTTGCTTATCATGTGCCACCAGTTATCTGTTAACTGTTGTCTTCACTTTGATAGCCATCGATTCATGCATTGCATATCGTAAATGTTGTTAAGTGCATTAATTACGCATATTACTCATTGATTTTTTTTTTGCTATCACAATCGGAATTAATTTGGCCAAAGCTTTGCAAGATAATATGAAATAAGTAGAAATGGAAGTAAGAAGTAATAAATAATGTAAATTAAATTGCAATAGCTATACAGACAGAAAATTAAAAATTAAAAAAAAATTAATTGTGTTTATATTTTTAGTATATAAAGAAATATTAAATTAAATAACAAGTAATGATAATACAATCAAATCAAAGATTAAAAAAATACTTAAAATTAAATAACAACATCAATATTTTAGATTTTAGGCATTTTAACAAAACTAACATTTTAGATTTTGCTATTTAACAACATTTTTTTATTTTATTATTTCATTAAAAATTGTTTTTTTTTTTATTTTTATTTTTTTATATACTTTTCCTGCTATATATTTTCCAATATAACACTGACATAATACAACTATTTTAATTCATTTTTAGTACACTAAAGATAACATTGATCATTTTCAAAAGAACAAATATCTAGGCTTGATATCTGCTTTAGTTCTCTGCTTTTCTATCTCAGCCAAAAATACTAAAAAATAAAAAAGTAAAAAAAAAAACAGGAAAAAATTTTTTAATCTGCCATCTTTGGCTCTAAATTTATTACTTACTTCTAATGCCTAGTTAAATAATAGTAATCAACTAAATTTATTTATCTATTTATTTTTTTATATTTTCTAAAATGCAATTAAATTAAGCCTCAGTTGTTTTTTTATTCAAGCTTCACTGTTTGGTTTATTTGCTAGCAGATTTTCGCGTTAAATTTTTTGTGCTAGCCATTGGTAGCACCAAGTGGGCGTGGCTCAAAGTGTATTTCACAGGGATTTGCACAGGCATGCATTATGAATAAATAAAGCGCAGGGTGCGCTCGCTTCATATAAATTTACGCGTTTGTAATTACGTAGAAATTAAGCTGGCATCAACATTTAATTGCTAAAAGCCCCAGACGCAACGCTATATATGTTTAGATATATATATGCATGTGTGTGGGTGTGTGTGTGTGTCTCTGTGGAAGCAGCCACGCATGCTAAAAAGGCAACGAACATTTAATTAACAAATTTTACGCATTTATTTTCTATTTTCATGTGCGCCGACTACGACGACGACGACGATGCTGCTGACCAAACCAAAAAAAAAAAAAAAAAAATCCGTGACAACATAATTTGCCTGAATAAAATGGCGGCGACTTTGTGCCAACACCAACAACAAAAACAACTAATGCCAACCGCAACCACAAACCACAATCGGCACAGTGAAAACGAAGGACATTGATGCCGTCGAGGGCAAATCTGTGTCGCTGCCCTGCCCCATTGCCGAGCCCCTGCATGATGTTTATATGGTCTTATGGTTTCGTGATAATGCGGGCATACCTCTATATAGGTGAGTACTATCCCCCACACACATACACTCTCTCTCTCTCTCTCATTCGCGCTCGCTCTCTTTCTTTTTGTTTTGTATGTGTGTGTGAGTTCCAGCCTCAATTGGCTTATTGTCCGCCTCCGTGTATGTGTGTGTGTGTGTGTGTTTATAAGCATTTAATTAAATGCAAACGAGCCTCGAGAGCAGCTGCCTTTTAAATCGTGCGGCCCCGCATCGTACAAAAGTATGCTACAGTAATTTTCTGCCATGCCCTGTAACAGATTTTGGCAATAGGGTATATAGGCTTGTGAGACAATATAATAAACATGCTTATGCTGGTAATTCATTTACGGCATTGTAAAAAATATTTATAATTAAGCAGAAGGCCCTAGATGCCTTTGCTTAAATTTAAGTTGATTACAATTTTATATAATAAAAGTTTTATAAATTAATATATAATAATGTCACATTTCATTCCATGGTATGCCTCCGTTGAGTACACGCATTTTGTGTATTAAGCTTAAGCTGTTTATTTTTTGCACCTGCTGCCTGGCAGCTGATAAGTGGCCTTTGCTCTCTGGATATGTGATTTAACTTTTGTGCGTATGCCAGTGCATGTGTGTGTCTGTGTGTGTGTGTTTGTGTATTTTAGTTGTCGCAAAGCTCACAGTAAATTAACTTAATTATATTTACCTAATTTCCTAATTAACCTCAGACGTAAAGCCACAAGAATTATGTGGATAAATGATGTTGAATTTCTTTTATATGGATTCAGGTCTTATCGTTAAGCTGTTGCTAAGCTTGCGGCTACTTCAAATTCTTGTGGCTATTTGGCATTGTTTTCGTTGCTGTTGCCTGGCTAACAACAATCAGTTCAGCTCATAAAGAACTCCATATGAAAGTGCCCTGCAAAGTGCATGGGTCGAGCTGGCCCACTCCCTTGAGCTGTGCTGCTAATTGCATTCACGACATTTTCGCGCCACGTTGCGCCTTTTGGCTGTCAAATGCAATATTTAAGTGCTATATCTAGCTCTAGGAATACTAAGTGAAGTTCTGACTTGGTAACTAGCAGTGGCACAACTAGCTTCAATATTTGTTAAAAGTTTTTAAAAGTTTTTTTTTTTATTTTTTTATTTATTTATTTTTTTTTTTTAAATTTAAATTTAGTGGAAATTCAAAAAAATTTAGTTTTTAAGGATATGTATATATAGTCAAAGTTTCAAAGTTTTTAGTATATAATATATAATATATAATATATAATATATAATATATAATATATAATATATAATATATAATATATAATATATAATATATAATATATAATATATAATATATAATATATAATATATATTATATAATATACAATATTTTTTTATTTTTTTTATTTTATTTATTTTATAAAGTTAGATATAATTAAAAATTAAGATCTAACTTAATTTTAACAGCACTGGCTACTATGGCCTTCGGCTCTAATATACAATATATAATATATTATTATAATAAAAATAATTGACTGAATATTGATATGGCTAAAAATCAGAATAAAAATTGAAATGACATAAAGATATTAATATTTTCCTTATCAATGATGATGTAAAGGTAAGGCTATAGGCAAAGATTGGTATGAAACGAAGAATAAACTATATTGGAGAAGCCTCATTGAAGTATTGATTTAATATCTACAAATATTTATATATATTTAAATTCCTGCATTGATGAAATATCTAAAATAATTTATATATTTTTTTACATTTCTATATAATTAGCATTTCGTCAGCACTCTCCATTCGTAACCACATCCACAGTGAATTTAAATTTCATCCTCTCTGCTTTTGGCCATTTTCATTACGCTCAATTTGCTCGGGTTCACGTAGCGTATTATTTGGGCATCAACATTTGCAGCATAGGCCCCCAAGAGCAGTTATTAAGCTAAGGCCCCATAGAAGTCCCACAGCACGTTTCACTCTGCTTAGCCACATTTAAAATTTTTTTTTTTTTAAATATTATTTTTTTTTTTAGTTTTTAATTAAAATGGCAGCCAGCAGAAAAAAAGAAAAAAAATGTGAAGAAAGTGAAGGCAAATGGAAGAGAATTGGGTTAACGTTGCTCTCGCTTTCACACTAAATCGTGCTCGCTCTGCCTCCATCTCCCTCTCTCCTGGCCTTTCTTTCCCTCTCTCTCTCACTCTCTCTCTCTCTCTCTCTCTCTCTCTCTCTCTCTCTCTCTCAGGCTGTTGCTTTTACTTGAACGGCTGCCCGCTTGGCACGCAGCAATTAAGTTGTTGCATTTTGCACTGTCGCCGTTGCCGTTGCCGTTGACGTCGACGTCGACGTCGACGCTGTCGTTGGCTGCCCGCATAAATTATTGCGTGTTGCATACAAAAGTGCGCTTAACGGCCCACTTGCCGCAGAGGCTCTCAAAAAGTGGCTGCTACAATAACAGTAGCAACAGCAACAGCAACAACAACAACAACAACAAATGCAATTAACCCCTACAATACTTGACTTTCCCTTTTTTGGTACTCATTGTAGTGGCAAGAGCTTTGCCTCCGCAACTCAGCCAACAACTGTTGTCATAAATTTAAAAACAAAAACCATTATCTGATATGACTTAAGTGCGAGCATAAAGAAAATGAATCTGATAAATTAAATTGTAAATAAGCTAATATATAAAGGATTATTGAATAGAAATTGTTTAGTCAGATACTAAATTAGATACTTAACTAATTCTGTATGCGGCTACTATTTTATGCATTAAAAGTTTTTCTCTATATATTTTAAATTTTTTCTGTTTTAATACTTAGACAAATAACCAATATAGTAAAATTAACTAGGTTTGAAATTTCTAATAAAGAAAAGGAATCCAACATTAATTAAACAAATTATTGTTTTTCTTTATATGTATGTAACACATACTTATTAGTAAGAAAAAATATAGTATATAAAAAATAAAGCAAAAAAAAAAAAAAAAAAAACAAATAATTAAATAAATAAATACATAAAAGAAACCTAAATAAGTAGCTACAATAAGTATCGAATTATCAAACTAAAAAACTGAGAATTTTTGAATCTTAGTGTTGTTTATAGAAATAAAAAATAAAAAATTAATTTTTTTTTTTGTTGAGAGTATTAAATAAAAGTAACAACGTAACATTCGCAATTCAACATTTTATTTAGAAAATTTTATTTTATTTACTCTATTGCTACTGTTATAAAAATTGTTAAGCTCCATGATTGAATTTATCTCTGCCAGAAAAATATGATCAAATATATGAAAAACAAATATATAATATACTGAAAAAAGGCAATACAAGTGCAGTAGATTTCGACAAATTCCAGAAAGAATTTATTTTAAATGGCAACAACTTAATTTATTTATGATTGCGGAAAATAACAAATAAAACTAACTTTAATTGGATAAACCAATTGGGAATGTACATATAAACAATAGGAATATATATATATATATATATATATATATATATATATATATATATACAAATATATATTCTGTTTGTTTGCAAATGCATAAAGTTCAATAGAGCAGAGCTCAAATGCGAGGCAGTTTTATGGCCATTTGAATGAAACTGCAACGCTCAGCATTTAGCCATGTCTTAAGTGTTATGGCCTTTTGTGTGCTGATGCTGCTGCTGATGCAGTTTTAGCCTAGGTAAGACTTGGCGCATTTAATGCAGCAGCAAGAGGAAGAAAATTGAAAAAATGTTTATCTATGGGGCCATAAATTCCATTTTGGCAGCCAGCCCGTGGCAAGAGCATCATCCGCTTTCTCTCTTCTTCTCTCTCTCTCTCCCTCTCTCTCTCTCTAATGAGCAGTTCAGATATAAATGAGGCTAGTTTTGGCGCTCGCAATTCTCAAAATGAGAATAACAAAAGCTCAATTATACATATAAAATCAAGAGCTGAAGCCCGAGCTTCTCGAAAATATCTATATCTACTATGTGTGAAGTCCCGAATTTATATCAACCCGATTTCATTTTGTTGCAACTAAAATATTTACGCTCCAGCATGATAATAATAATAATTTTCCTTCTCTCTCCCCTATCTCTGCTCTCCTTGCAGCTTCGATGTGCGCGATACCATGGCCATTGAGCAGCCCAGACATTGGTCAGCTCCGGAGGTGTTTGGCTCTCGTGCCAAATTTCATTTTGACTCGCAGCCAGCTACATTGGAAATTAAGGTAAGATTCGCCATGGTTAACCAAGAGCAACTCGCAGTTTGCTTCTTTCATTTTGTGTGTGAATGAAAATACGATTTGGACCTAAATGAAATGAAATTCTTTAAATATTCCATAGAGTAGAGGGCATTTGTGCTTGAAATACAAAACCCGATTCGAAGCATTTGGACTATTTAAGAAACTTTCCACGAAATGTGGAAGGGGCACAAATATTTGGCTACCAACAATTTTAAAATTCAATTGAAGTTTGTTGCGTTGAGTAGAAATGGATAGAAGAAAATGTAAATGGAGTATGAGTGGATTGAATAAAGGACCAGAATATGCTCTATAATTAGAATGTTTACGTTAATCTATGAATAGATTTGTAGTGTAATATAATATAGATATAGGACGCATTCCTAGTCCAAATACATAATGTTCATTATGGTATTCAATTGAATGAAAGTTTACTGCCTTTGCATTCAGTTAACTGCGGTTTCCATAGCATTTGAAAAGGGCTTTCCAATTGGGAAAATCTGAAAATGGCAAATGGCAATTGGCGTAGCGAATGCGTGCTAAGAATTAAGTCAGCGCGAATAACAGCAAGCGGATGTACCGAACATTTTGTAAATGGGCAAAATGTCGGATTGCGGAATGCCGAATACAGTTAGAAAGCTGTGAATACGACTGTGACGGTGACTGCGACGTCGACAGCGACGGTGACTGCGGCTGCGGCTGCGGCTGCGGCTGAAGCAATGCGAAAACAAATTTAGATATCAAAAGTTGTTAAATTGCCTCGCGCACGCGAAATGTTTATTAATGTCTTGCATGTTTACAGATAACTTGATTTACCGTTATTGTCATGCAATGCACACACACACACACACACTTATTCATACAGACAGACATGCATATACGCATTACACTGTGTGTGTGGCAGCTACTTGAACTAACGCCTCGACGCCACAAACCGTTGACTTTTAAAGGCCAACATGACTTGGGTTCGGTTCCTGGCTGTTGGAATCCTTGGACAATTCCTGGCTTAAGACAACCTGCTGGGAAGGCTAACGAGCTGCATGTTCACACACACACACACACACACACACACACACACACACACACACACGTACTCAACTGTGGAGTTGAAAATGAATGTGAAATGCACACGAAGAGGCAGCCTGAAGGATTCTCCAATAAATTTGCCATTCGCGGTTGCATGAAGCTTCATAATGCAAAGCGTTATACCAGAAATTTATATATGTGTATATACATATGTGCATATATATGTATATAGCTTCATGCACATATAACTCAAATAGTCCCATGAATTATGTGCGACAAATGGCTGGCATCTGGGTGAGGAGTTGACTTTATAAATGAATTTTAATTGCCATCCAATTGCCAGGAAATTAACCTAACGCCAGGTCGACTATAAATTACGAACAAGTAGTTAGAGAATTCTCCCGCTGAAGCGAATACGATACGTTTGATTATATCAATAATGAGCAGAGAGTAGAATAATTATAAACTCCCTTAAAATTGGAATTTTTAATTTCAATATAAAAATTTAAATTCTGTTCAATATAAATGTAATAAATTACGTGGATGTTGATTATAAGGTTTGAAATAGAAGACACTCATTATTCATTGACATTATGTATTATTTACGGAACTAGTCTAAATAGCCTATACTGGTTCATGGATAATAGCTCATGTAGAGACATATAGGCAGCAAAAGGGATATAAAAAAGAACTAGTTGAACCATACTAGCTCTTCTTATCCTGAAAATAACTTAAAAGAACTAGTTCAATGTTCAAACGAGATTTTTGCAATTTCCTGTTGGGTTGCTAATATCAATGAACTAGCATTGAACTGTTCTACCGAACAAGTTCATTTATCAAAAACACTCACACACACACACACACACATATTGAAACCATTCATAGACTGAACTCAGGCATAATTAAGCGAACCAAACCATAGCTGAGAGAACTAGTTGGCCACAACTTGAGCGCTTAGCCCGGACTGAGGCTTACGATATACATATATCTCAAGTGCCCTGGCAGAGGGAAAGAGAGAGAGAGAGAGGGCGACCACAGCGCAGTCGTGCGACTTGGTTGACATGGAATAATTGAAAATTACATGGCTGCAAGCAGAAACAATTGTATTATGTGGGCAGGTGTGCAGGTGTGTGGATGTAAGTCTGTGTGTATGCTAATCATCTGTTTCCTTTCACACACACATGTATAATAATTTAACGTATGAAATTTTGCAGGATATCAAAAGGCATGATCAAGGCATTTACCGTTGTCGTGTCGATTTTCGCACAGCTCAAACACAGAGCTTCCGTTTCAATTTGTCTGTCATAAGTGAGTATCCAAAATGCAGACACACACACAAACACACACACATACACATATATACACACTCTATAGCACATATATATATACCTATCTACCTATCAATTGTTGCTGTTGTTTTTAGTACTTCCGGAGCAGCCCATCATACTGGACCGTTGGGGTCGTCAACTGAATGGCACACAATTGGGTCCCAAGCAGGAGGGCGATGATATTGTTATCACTTGTCGTGTGGTGGGCGGTAAGTAAGCCCAACTAACGTTGCTTAACCCCATTGCCAATGTACACGCCCCCATTTCTTTATACAGTCTTCTTTCTTCCTTTTTTTTTCTTTGTGTGTGTGTTGTTGCTCTCTACACATGAGTATATCCGCTCGACCGGCTAGACAATTTCCGGTTAATTTCCTTAAAAACTTTGGCAAAAAAAAAAAAAAAAACTGGAAAAAATCGGAAAAAAACCTCAAGCCGCAGTTTGACCGAAAATGAAAATATCACAAAGTTTTCGTTTGCTTTGCTTTCGTTTTCTTTGCTTTATATATTTTTTTCTTCTTTATTTTAGCCTTGCCAAAACTTGACTTTTTAATTTGCGCACCCTATGCTCTCCCTCTCTCTCTCTCTCTCTCTCTGTCTCTGTTCATATATATGTATATGCCCATCTACAATTGTTTTTGTTCTGTTCGTCTCTTTCGACTCGATGTGATAGGTCGACCGCAACCACAGGTCCGCTGGCTCGTAAATGGACTACTTGTCGACAATCAAAACGAGCACAATTCCGGCGATGTTATCGAGAATCGACTGTTGTGGCCATCGGTGCAGCGGAACGATTTGAATTCCGTATTCACATGTCAGGCATTGAATACGCAATTAGATAAGCCCAAGGAAAAGAGCTTCATACTGGACATGCACTGTAAGTGGGCCAAATTCCAATACTCTACTAGATAGAGCTGTCGATATATATATATATATATATATAGTATAGTATATACCATGTGACCCAAGAGTTTGAGCAATTACGGTGTAAAGTATTATTTATTTTATATTATTATTATATTATTATTATATATATTATTATATGCAGTCTAGATCACATTTGATCTATTTCCTCCGACTAGATGTACTGAAAAGTTTTCTTTGAATCTAAACAATTCAATTAGTGAAATGAAAATACGATTGTTCCAGGGGAAAAGCTCTTAATTATTTCCAGAACATTCAGTCAACAGCTGTTGTATAAACATAAACAAATCCAATGCAATTTATTTCATGATTTCACGATAAACAAAGAACAAGTTGTATATTGCTCCAAAATACATATATATATATATATATATATCTATATTTGTATATATGTATGTATCGCCCAAGTAGCCATTAAATAATTACCACGTTTACAATGAAATGAATGAATGAAGGGGCGTTAGACCTAACATTAACCTCGCTCCATTTACAGCTGCACTCGTGCTGGCCATTAGGTATGCACAGGTAAGAGCAGGTGTGTAGTCAGCACTTGAGTTGAGACGGTGCTTAGATGCTATCGTACGTAGAGCAGATACAAATTGTTAAAGCTTCGCATTATTTATATAAACTTGACATGCTACAGTTAGGTGGTGGAATAGCTTCAAGCAAAGTGGGTTTACAATGAATGTTGAGAAAATGTTAAGGATATGTTAATAAATGTTAACTTACATATATACTTAATTCTAAGATCTCTGTTGAATGCACTTTACTATCTATAGCAATTTATCAGAGTGTATTTAATTGCCGTTACATAAGTTATAAACTGCTCTATTCGCAGTGAAACCATTAACCGTTAAAATTCTGGATCCGCCCAGTTCAATGATTGCCGATCGACGGTATGAAGTCACCTGTGAATCGTCCGGTTCACGTCCGAATGCCATCATCACCTGGTACAAGGGAAAACGTCAATTGCGACGCACAAAGGTGAGTAGGAGGTGGGGGCCTGTAGTAGGCTTGACGCGCACCTGACCGCAATTGGCGTACCCGGCCCAACGCTGGCGGGGGGAGGGCAGCCAAAGGGTCTGTTGACTGACTCACGATAAGTTATTGTATTTGCATAGGCAAGCCACAAGCACACATACACAAACACACACACACTCACACAGACTGCAGCTCGTTGGGTATAGGGGGGCGCAACACCCACTTGTTGTCCCTGGGCGTGGCTCACACTCGCCGCGCTCCGCACTCACCGTTAGAATAAACACAGATAATGTGATATAAACTCCACAATACACAACGTACAGCAACGCCTTGCCATGTCAGCCCACTGCCACGCCCCCGGCGTCCGCCCGCACCCGCAATCCTTTGGCTTTTCATTTTATTTGCTACGCTTTTCCTTTTGCCATTTTCATTTGCTGTTGTTGCTGTAGTATTTTGTGTTTTTGTTTCGGTTTTTGTTTTTGTTTTTTTTTTTTTTTTTTGTTTTGTTTTGTTTCAACTTGGGACAAATTTATGGGAGTTTTAGCGCAATTTTGTTGCAATTCATTTTTGAGCCGCTTTGCTGTTGACTTGTCCGGGCCTGCCGTTGTCCGGAACCCGAAAAACTGTTGTTGTTTATGTCCATGTCTGTCCGCCTTATATGCATACTCGTTTATGCATACCAGCGCTGATTGCTTTGCCGTTTGCAGCTACACTCCTTTAAAGGCCGGAAATGTTTTTCACTAGTTTTTCACGTGGCATAAAGTTGCCGTAATGCGGCAAAAGGCCGCCCTCTAGTCTACGGCAGCCAGACAGAGGGCGGACAGACGAACACTCACATGCAGAAAGAGAGAGCAAGAGGGAGTGAGAGAGAGTGAGAGAATTACAGAAACAGTCCGATGTACTGGCCTTTAGACATGCTTTTGCTACATGCCTTTTGGTGCCTTAGTTTCCACTCTAATGTGCGGACGTTGTGGGTGGCTTTGATGTGTGTGTTTGTGTGTCTTACCCTCTCCCACTCCATGTGCCCTCTTTGTGTGTGTAGCAGACATGGGAATATGGCTGGCATAAAACTAAAGTCTAGCAACTTCATATGGAGCACGACATTAATCAACGTTTTTGGGGCCAACGACTCGGCCAACAATCGTGTCGTTCGTTACGTATTGCAGCTAATTAGACAGTTCGAGTCCGAGTCCGACTTCCAGTTGGCCCAAAACATGTTATTTACATTACTACAAAATGTTTTTCAAATACCTAAACTTGTCAACTGGGTTGAACTCTTCTACATAAAAGCTAATGGGATATATATGGGGCGGGGCGGTTCAGTTAATTAAAAATCCAGAAAGCCCCCCAAATCCCAAAAAGTGTTTCATACGCATATTTTGAATTTTTTGTATATATTTTAAATATTTTGAATTCGTCTGAGGAACTTTTCGAGTGCCAAAAACATTTTTATGATGCCCCATTTATTTCGCCAACTGTTCAGCTATTAACACCTCTCGAAGCAGCGACTGCAGAAAAACGTGGCACTACAAACAGGCAGCCAGCCACGCCCCCCGACCCCAGCCCCCGACGCAGTAACTTTTGCATGTATGTAGTAGTATGTGCATATTTCACGGGTTTAGCAGCCGTTTAGCAAGTTTTGGTGGCTGGCCGCTAGGGGGCGACACCCAACCACCCACACATTCACACTCACACACACACACACACGTTTAAAAATGAACAATTTTATGACCTGTTCAACTAACAGCAAGAATAACGACTACAACAGCACAACTAATTATGTGTTGTTGTTGTTGCTGTTGTTGTTGTTGTTGTTGCTTGGCGCTATAAAATTTATAATACCCACACAAGGCACATAAAACCCAAAGTATACAGCAATAAATTTTAAATTGCAAACATAAAATATTTCGACAAATTTGCAAAAAAAAAAAAAAGGAAGAAGAAGAAACACACACACACACAAAGAAAACAATGAACAGAACGCCTTAGGACAATTTTTTTAGTGTAAGTGTAAAGGAGATCCACACTCGCGCACCACTCTCTCCCTGTGAGGTATCCCTCTCTCTCTCTCTCTCTCTCTCTCTGTCTTGCTCTAAGTCCGAAACTTAATTAATGCAGAAACACATTTTGCAGGACGACATATCAAAGAACTCGACACGCTCCGAGCTGAGCTTTGTGCCCACCACAGACGACGATGGCAAATCGATAACATGCCGTGCGGAAAATCCAAATGTGAACGGCCTCTATTTGGAGACCATGTGGAAATTGAATGTCGTTTGTAAGTATTACAAATTGTGTTTAAGTCTAAAATATATATATATATACTGTGTATACCGCTAAAAATAACCCAAAAAAAAAGGTAAGAATTTGCCGACAGCTAGCAGAAAGGTAGACAGCCAGCTGAAATTTATTACGCCGTCGTCGTCGTCGCCGTCGCCGTCGCTGTCGCTGTCGTCGTCGCCGTTGAAAGCCTTTAAAATGCAAATAAATCAAAGACAAATGACAAATTGTGAATAATTTGCTATGGGCCAGAAGGCAGCCGCCATGTTACCACCCAAAAAACAAAAAGAGTCCCCAGCGCCCACCCACTCCGCACCACCTCTTCGCATTCAGACCGCTGGCATGGAGCGTTTCAGCGCCCCAAATGAAATATGTTGGCTAACAAAATGTATGGCAGGCGCTTAAATTATATGAAGGACTTTACGTACTCATATACCTAGCCCATGTCTATGCCTACTCCAAAACAAAGCAGAAGACTCAAATACCCCCCTCAAGCAAAATCATATCAAAGTAAATGTTTCGTTGCCTAGTTATGGCCAGGCTCTTGTAATTTTGTTTCAAGTATAGCTGATATAGGTTAGGCCAAGTTTGGAAGGCTGAGGTGAGGTAAGCATATATTAACGATTGACAGTTGAGATATGGTTGCGTTATATATGGTTATAAAGCATATGAAATAGATTAAGTAAAAATAGGTAAAGCTCATGTTAGTTATATATATAGATGTGAGATGTCCTTTGTGAGAAATCTGTGACGAATAAGTGAATACTATAAGAAAAAGTCTAGACAAAAGTGAAATATAGGCATAACTCTCATAGGTTCTACCTGAAGAGATTTGAAAGTATTTCCATTATTTATAATGCTAGTTCATTCATTTAAACATATAGATATATTCAATGCTTCACAAGGTCTATCTCTACTTTATCATATATTCTATATCCGCCCACATTTCTTAGTTATTAATGCCACAGCTCTGAAATCCAAGCTCAGATCGTAGTTAAAGATTAACCAACTGCCAAACGGCCATGCTGTTGGCCCCAAATTGTACAGTCAATGGGTCAATAGACGGCTAAGTAAGCACTGCGGACATCGTAAAGTGCCAAAGCCAGAGTTGTGTTTGAGTTCACGTTACGTATACGTCGCGTTGTATTTTATTATTTCGACTGTGTGTACATTGTGCACACATACAGTCTCACATGTGTGTGTGCGGCACATCACGTAATGTTGTTTCTTTACTTTTCACTTCCTCAAATATTAAATTTTTACTGCAATCTGCTGACGTCAAAAAAAAAAAAAAAAAGAAATAAAAGAAATAAATAAAGAAAAGAAGAGAACAAAATACACAGCACGAAAACGTGTTGTTGTTGTTTAGGCCCGATGTTAAACAAAACATACATATGTATTTGATATATGTAGATGTACACCTATATAAATGTATATATAAGGTGTTATTATTATATCTTTTATGCTCCACACATACTTCTTGGCTTCAAATTTTATAATTTAGAAAATTATTTTTTATTTGTTTGTTTTGTTATTTTGTTGCTGTTTTATTTTTGCCTTTTGGGCAACGCTGCTCGTAACATTGACGCGAATAAAGTTTATGATCAGCACGTACGACCGTATATTCATATATAAATATGCACACGCACACACATGCACATATGTGTGTATGTCATGCAAACGCTTGATTTTTAAAGCTAGTAAAATATATGCATATTTAAAGATAAATTAAGCTTTTTAATTTGAGCGCATGTAATACCCTGCAGACATTTGAGTATGTCTTAAAAAAGTTCATATAAAATGATCATGCATTTTTATAGTCTTGATTTAAGTCTTAATCAGGCAGATGTTGATAAAATGATGTACATAATGAAATTTTGTTGGATAAGGCCTTAAGAGTTTTTGATTTATATTTTAGTAGAGAAAATCATTATGAATTTATATAGAAAATTGGGATATGGATATATATATTTTAGTATGTATATGGAAAATAATTGTATACCCTTATATTAGAGACAGTTTATATACTATTGAATAATTATTGTTTGTGTATATTTTTTATACATTTTTATATATATTTGAAGTAATATTAATATAAAATTTATGTAATATTACGACTTGAATCATAAATTTATTTTTGATTTATTTAAATGAATTTATATATATATATATATATATATATATATATATATATATATATATATATATATATATATATATATATATATATATATATATATTTCCAATTAAACTTCATTATAGACATACTTTATTTTTTATTCAACATATATACTTGAATTAATATTAATATAAAATTTTATGCAATATTGAAGCTAGTTATAAATCTTTTTTCATTTTTTTATTTAGAGTAAATTTTTTTTTTTAATATTCTTTATATGTATACCTCAATTAGAGGGAATCTCTTCTTAGACTACTCCTAGCTGCGCCTTCAGCAAATAGTCATACGAAAAATATTCATGCACTATTGATCTCTCGCATACACATATTTCGTATATGAAATTCTCTTAAGGATTTCTGCACTCTATGGGGCACTCTCTAGTCGCTGCTGTCTATTTCATCTCAATTATTTATTTTTCGTATTTCTAATTTGAGCTTACATGGCAAATATGTTCCGCATCGTTTCGCATTTGTTGCTTATGCTGTCGTGTTGTGTTGTGTTGTGTGCGGCATGTCCTTGTTGTTATCCTGGATGTTGTTGTTGTTGTCATTTCTATGCGATATCTCTATTCAGCATCATGCCTGAGTTATTATGCCAACTTCGTTTTGGCTTCTTAGGCACGGCATTTGGCAAGGCCATTTGCCATGCTTTATGCCAGCCAGCCAGCCAGCCAGCTAGTCTGCCTGAGGGGGGCGTGGCAGGGCTGCTGCTGCTGCATTCCGTACGTATAATTTTCTTTATGTGTAAGAGCGAGTGCGCGCGCGCTATGTGTGTGTGTGTGTGTGTGTGTGCGTATGTGACACGCTCGTTTTAAAATTTATAATGTGGCCCCAGCAAACAAGGCAGCAGGACAACAAAACATGCAATGCAATCACAGACATAGAGATTCCCATGAGCGCACTACGCAGACAATATATTTATGTGTGTGTGTATGTGTGTGTACGTGTGTGTGTGTGTGCATGTCCCTCGGCCGTTGTTTATGGCTGGGATACATTGGCGCTTGTGCTCTGTGCGTGCCTCGCATTTCGGAGAAGCGAAAGCATCGCGATATTTTTCTCAATGCTGCAATTTGAGTTGATATTTTTAAAGTGGACGCACGCCAGAGCAGAGCAATAGAAGTGCCAGCTTATGCTCTCTAGATATGATATATGTGCATATATATAGTCATATATATATATATAGAAGGCAGCCAGGCAATCATCCAAGATTATTTTAAATTCCATACTTTAAAGCTCTACGCTGCAAAAGGATACAACAAATATATTATTGTCAGTTGTGTTTTGTTGTTGTATTGGTTGTACTTCTACCCGAAATATAGGACAGACTATGATTAATGATGAAGGAGAGAAAGCGTTGGTATAGAGAGGCAATCGATAAAGAGAGAACTGGTACGGAAGAAATAAATATTGAAAGCAATTTCTATATGAATAAAAACAATATATTAATATTTGAAATGTTTATTTCGAGAGAATAGAATATAGAAGGAATATATAAAGAAGGTTTGTTCCTTGCCATGGAAAGTTGAAATGTATAAGGAATTTATGTCTGAGATTAAAAATATGATAAAGAGAACTTTTCTTGGAATATGTATACAAATAAATAATATTAATTGATGGGCTCCTATTTTATAAATTAAATATAAATTAAAATCATAGCTGTTGAGCGATTCTCGTACACTCTGAACTCGTAGTTCCAAATAGTTTGCCGCTAATTTATGGCTTTAAAATCATCTGAGCTTAGCTTTAAAACGGCCAAATCGCAGCGCATATATCATTTCATGTGATATAATAAGACAACTTTCATTTGCACATAAATTGCTGGAGGCTCGATCGATTGCCCGAAACCAAAAGGCGTCAGAGTGGAGAGTTGTGGTGGGGTCGCAAGGGTGGGGAGTTTGCTGGTTTCATTTTTGCAGTTTGCTGGCAGCTAACGGTAAATGATAATCACAAAAATGGCCTGCAACATGTGTGCGGAAATACGGCGTCGCGACTTTCGACGAAAGAGTTTTTGCAGCGGGTCCCTTTCGAGCACTTTTGCTGATTGGCGAGGCGACTGCTCAGAGCTCAGACGTTTGCGCGGAGCGAGGGGAGGGGACGGTGGGCGGCTGTAGGCGGTGAGGATAGCTGAGTAGGCGAGTAGAGGCGGGGTGTTGAGTAAACTTTGCGAGGCCATTCAAAAGTGAGCAAACTTTTGGCCCCATCGTCGTCGTCGTTGTCGTCGTCTAACTCTTGACTGGCGCCGTTTGGCTTTGGCCGCCAATAACTCAACAATATTAAGGTTGGCACGTGGCACGTCCTTCCTTCAAACCGTTGAACGTTCAACGTTTCAACGTTCAACATGCTGGCCGCAGCCTTTCTAAGGTCCTCTACACTATGCTGTGCTATGCTTTGCCCTGCCGTGCTGTGCCGTGCTTTGCTGTGTTTGTCGCAAAGTTTGTGGCTCGTTAAGCAAATTCAAACGACTTAAGCGGCAACACATGTTCGGCCAGGCCAGGCGAACCGATCCCAGTTACTTGTCCCCAATTGCCAGTTGCCAGTTGCCAGTTGCCATTAGACTGTGTTGTTGCCATAACTCTTTGTTGATGTTGATGCTGATGCTGATGTTGCTGTCGTTGCAGCAAATCGCTCTCATATTTGCCAAGCACTATTAAATCAAATAGATCACTTGACTTATTGCGCAGCTGATGGCGGCCAATTGCAGAGCAAGGGCATATATATATAGTAGGCAGTTTATTAGGCAGTTGAAAGTCAGAGAAGAAGAGCAGAGAGAAAGAAAGAGAGAGAGAGAGAGAGAGAGAGAGAGAGAGAAAGAAAGAACCTGTACTTATTTTAAAATACATTGAAGATAAATCAAGTAGGAGTTTTTATGGGTCTAAGTATATCATTCTAAGTTACTTAAATATACATATAAAAAAATTTTGTTATTTATTTAAATTTTAATATTTTCATTGAAGTTTATTTACCTTAAACATTTTATAAAACAAATTATGATTATAAATAATTTGTTAAAAATATGAATTCGATTCTTTGTGCAGCTGTTGGCGATCAATTGTAGAGCAAGGGCATATATATTAGGCAGTTGAAGGTTAAGGAAGAAGAGTAAAAAAAGAGAGAGAGAGAGAGCCTGGCTTTAGAGTTTATAAATATATAAGTATACAGATATAGTACGTATACGTAATAACTTAAATATATAAAGCAAATAATTACTAATTGTATATACCCATATGCATCCTCTCTCAGACAAGTCATTGCCTATAATGAACACTTAATCATTTCTCAATTTATAGCTCTCACCTAATACCTGTCTCTAATTGTTTGCAGATCCTCCATTGGTGACGCTGCGCCTGGGCTCCACGCTGACACCGGATGATATCAAGGAAGGCGACGATGTTTACTTCGAGTGTCACGTACAATCGAATCCTCAATGGCGGAAACTGTTGTGGTTACATAATGTAAGTCGCGTGAAGCCAGCTGGAAATGAAACCTCATGGAGAACCCCAAATAGACACACACACACACACACACATACGCAATGCCAACAGGAACTGAGCTTCAGGTCGTGCTCGAGTCTGCGCTCGCTGCTCGATGCTCTGACCCCGGCTATCTGCTTGGTTGCTTTCCATTCATTTTCTGCTTAAGTGTCAATAGCATTGGCAAGCTGCGTATAGCTGCTGCTCCTGCCGAGCCTGCTCCTGCTCCTGCTGCTGCTGCTGTTGCTGTTGCTGCTGCTGCTGCTGCTGCTGTTCCCTGCTGCATTTGCTCATTTCAATTCATTTCACACCAAGGCCCCGACGCGTCGTCAGCCCAAGGGGGCGAGGCTAGGGAGTACAGAGTGACGTCCGCCATATGCCATTCCATTTCCCAAAATAGTTTTGGGATTTGCGGCATTGATTTAAGCAACGCTTTGGCTGCAGTCGCTCACTTGCAGTCGCCGCCTCGTTCCTTCCTCTCAATCAATCAGTAAAGAGCATACGTACGGCCCGAGCTGACATGGAAGTCAGCCATAGTTGTTGGGCTTTCTGAATGGCCTAACAAGCTCGACTCGATTGCATCGCACATCTCAGGCAAATTGAAATTGCAATCGTTTGCCGAAAATATGACAGTGAGATGAAGAATGTCTATCAATTGAAAATAGATGTTTGGCAAATACTGACGGCAACTGACAGAAAACTTTTCCTAACAAAGAGAAGTCGATATATGTGCCAGAAAATAAATAATATCTGCCTGAAATATGCTCCAAATTTCAATAAGAGACTTGGGCCTTTCACACTCTTTCGTGGGCCTCCATTCTTTAATATTTCATATTCCTTTGATCAAACATTTCTCACACAGCCCACAATAACAATAATAATATTTTTGCTTGAACAATAAATATCCTTTACTATTCCATACAGGGCATTCACTTGGAACACAATACCTCGGCTCGCGTCATACGCTCCAATCAGAGCCTGGTGCTGCAGAAGATAACGAAACACTATGCCGGAAATTATGCGTGCAGCGCCATCAACGACGAAGGCGAAACGGTCAGCAATCAGTTGCCGCTGCGCGTTAAATGTGAGTAGAACAAATATGTGGAGAAGAATATACGCATATATACATATAAATATAAATTTACATAAATATATAAAGAGAGGCTGCACGAATCTGCTCGACATATTGATCAAGCATATACTCTTTAAATCTAGAGAGATGTTGCTTATACTTTGTTTACCTACATATCAAAACTATATTCAAAGATATTTCCAGAGAGCATAGATCAATGTGAGTAAAATAAATATGTGGGCATATGAATACACATACATATATAAAGAGATGCTGCTAGAGTGTGCTCAATGCTTTGATCAGGAGATGTTGATAGAGAGATGTTGCCTGCAAGGGAGCATGGATCAGGTATATTCTGTGCTTTCCTGTATATCATCTCTTCAAATATTGAATGGATGCGCAAGACTCTTCTCACTACATAGATCAAGCATTAACCCTATAATACCAGAAAGTTGTTGCCTATATGTTTTCCTATATATATTCACAAGTTGATAGAGAGCTGCTCAGGAGTTCCTATAGATTTATTGCCCGTATTTTGTTTGTCTTTATATCAAAGTTCTCTTCATATACGTAATGGACTCAAGACTCTTCTCATAACACAGAACAGACATATTTATTTATTTATTTATTTGCCCTACCCTACAATCCCAGAATTCATACATATATTCATGACAACTCTCTGGGATTGTCAATGTATGTATCAAATCTCTCTTCATATATTCTAAGTAAGCACAATACTCAACAAATAGTTCAGGCATATACTCAAGAGTGTTTATTCATATACTGAAAGAACAGCTTGAGGTCTAATTTTTAGAAAATATAAATCAGACATATAGAGAGACCTCCGTATCCTTGAATCCTAGAGAATTCTTTTCTGTACTCTGTTCTCCTCTACATCAACGCGCAAGACTCTTCACGACCCAAGAGAGTTGTTCCTTTAACTTGTTTGCCTGTGTTTCAAAACATATTCATATATTGAAAATATATATTTAGACATATTGAAAGGGATCTCCGAGCATTGTTGCCTATACTTTATTTTCCTGTATATCAAAATCATAGATAAGTCACATATACCCTGTAATCCCATTCAGTTCTTTTGTTTTCGCTTCGCATCAGTTGGTCTTATGCGCAGTTTGCTGGAATGCCTCATCTATCTGGTTGTCTGGCTCTCTGGCTGACCCTTTGACCCATGTCTCTTATCACACAGTGAGACAGCGACGTTGTCAGGCTACAGCGGCGACACCACGGCCCACTCCCCTCACCGCTATAGCCCACTCCCCTCGCCACCACAGCAACCTTTACTTTTTTTTTTTTTTTTTATGTATTGCAAGTTTTTTTTTTCTTCCATTTTTGTTTCGCTCGACCGTTTTCATTTTACAACTGGAGCTCTTGAGCTGAACTCGAGTTGAGTTGTTGTCGCTCTCGTCGACGGCGTCGTCTCGATGTGGCGCAGTTGCAAGTCAAGGCTGTGAAAATATTTTTCATTCCGCTTTTTGCATAAATACAACATTTTGCCAACAGCAGCAGCAGCAGCAGCAGCAGCAGCGGCAGATACAGCAGCTATAGCAGGCAGCAGTAAACCTCCTCGCTAGCGCTCATCATCATCCTTGCAGCAGCAGCAGCAGCGGCAGATACAGCAGCTATAGCAGGCAGCAGTAAACCTCCTCGCTAGCGCTCATCATCCAAAGCCTTGCGTCGCTTATCTGGAAAATCCAGTCGCTTTTCATATGCTTGCCACATGCGTTGCCTCATATTTCATTGCTGCTGCTGCAGCTGCCGCGGAATTATGCTTCAATTTAACAGGCCGCGAAATGTTGCCAGCTGCAGCTTCAGCTTCAGCTCTTCTCCTGCTCCTGCTGCTGCTGCAGCTGCGCTTTAATTCAAGCAATTTGACAAGCGCCTTCGCTCGGCTGCTGATCGCGCTCATAATGAGTTTCGGAGCCGGATTTAGCGGCATATATAGTCTGTAGCCCGTCCTTTTTTTTTCTCATTTTTTTTTCTTGCCTCTGGGCCATACACATGTTGCAACAGCAATTCAAATGCCGCTTCTACTTCTCCTCTTTGCTACATGCAACTAGACTGACGCATTGCTTCGAGCCATAAATTAAATGCCTCTACAAAGCAGTCCCGCTGCTGCTACTCCTGCTGCTGCTCCTCCTCCTCCTGCTGCTGCTGTTGTCGTCTGCTGGTTTTTGTTCAAGCGACAAACTTATATTTCTTTTCAATTGCAGCTAATGCTTAAAGAAGCATTACATGTACACAAATAAGTCTATATGTATAAATATGCTTAATATGTAAGAGTATTTAAACATGTTTACAGACCATGGGAGCTCAGCTGCTGTAGAAAGCAGATTTGCATCAGTTTTTATACACTGAATAGTAATAAATTTGTGTGTGTATGTAACAGACTGATGGAGGTGTGGAGGTGGTTCGTCTGTCTGTCCGTCCGTTCGTATATATGAACGCGTCGATCCCTGAATGATAATTTGATTTCGCTGGCGTCGTGGCTTTTACACTGCATAGTTATTTTAAAGTAACATTAGTTACATAACATATTTACAACATATTAAAACATTGTTTGCAGTAACAGCCCCTTAAGTTATGCAACGATTTTTTATATATTGCATATTTTTGTCTGCAGATTTTTGTGCATTAAGCGCTAGCAAAGAAACCCTGTGAAGTGAAAGAAGTTTGATTATTTAACAACAGTTTATGTTCCATAGAGTAAAACTCACTCCACAAACACCTCAGCTTATCTTAACTACTAATACCAAATTCCAGTTTATTTATAGAAATTTCTGCTTTTAATTTGCTAATTAATTCTATTCATAATTTAATCCAGGAGGAATTTCAGCTATTTCAGCCTTCTCACATTTTTAACCTCTGCGATAAGTATCAAAGGCAAAATCACATGCTTTCGCTCAGTTTCTATCTCTCTCTCTCTCTCTCTCTCTCTCTCTCTCTCTCTCTCTCTCTCTCTCTCTCTCTCTCTCTGTATGACTTTCCCTCTCTCTCAGTCTGGCTTTAAATATGTTTCTCTCTCGATGACTCTGCTGCTATTCCTTTCTTTCTCTCTCGCTCTTAACCACCATCTCTTTCTCCTCTCTATCGCCCTCTCACTCTATCTCTCTCTCTCTCTCTCGCAATGTAATTTCCTACATTATGTTTGATGTCATTGAACTTTGGGCGTTTGTGCCAGCAACAAGTGCTTATTCAAGTGCTGTCTCGAGTGCTGCCTAATTAGCTGTCGACTGATCAAACAGCCCTCGTGAACTCGTAATTTAAATAAGCAACAGCAACAATTACAACAGGGAAGCGAAACAGGAAGAGGAAGAGAGCGGAGTTGTTATTTTTTGGCTAATTAATTACGCCCTTTTGTAAATTTTTAAGACAAACAATTCATCAAAAATTCAACTTGCCTGACTGCTAATGCGTTTGGTTTCTCTGCTGGGGGTTTTTGGGGTTCTGGGAGTTGGTGGTCGGTGGTTGGGGTTTTGGTCTTTAACGCTATGGATGAAAGGTACGAGGGAGTGGTGGGTGCCGGTGGAGGGCGTTCTGTTGACAACAACGTGAAATTACGCATACGCCACGTGTGCTGTCAGCTAATAATCCTTTAACATTTATGAACGCCTTATTTACCTGCGAGTACTAAATCATGTTGCCACATCAATTAATTTCAAGTAAACAAGAACGCCAACGCGTTGCCACCCATCGTTGCCTTTGACACTGACTGACTGCCAACCCCTATTCCTACGCCCGGCCCCGCACCGCACCCCACTGCTCTGCCCACTCGTAGCCTAACTGATGAGTGAGCCGCCCAGCTGTCTAAATCACTTTTGTGCGTTTGCCTCAACGTGATCAACGCCCCAGCAACTTGGCAAGCAAAAGAAAATGAGTTGCCTCATTTTTCTCTGCGCTTTTTTTTCTTGCTATTGTTTATTTTGTTCTTTTATTTTTCTTTTCTTTTTTTTCGCATTTGCAAGCTAATTTACTGCTATAAAAGTAGCTATAGATGTCTTCTCTTGTGTACTATATGAATTATTTTTGGTACTATTGATTTCGCGAGAGTCGCGATTAATTTGATTTCGCCGTGAAAATGATTCAATTATTATCGTTGCCTGAAGGGATATTTATTAATGTTGTGAATAATAAATAAGTAATAAAATATTCGAAATATACAATATAATAAATAAATACTATTTGCGGAATAGTAAAAAAAAAAAATAACTATATTGAATATGGTATATAAATAGGAAATATTTAATTTCATAGATATTGATATAAATACTTATATTGGTCGAGTTTTTATTATTGCTATTAGTGCTGAGTTGAGTTCAATTTTTAATGCTAATAACAAATTAATTATAAATTAAATAAAATAAAAATATAAAAAAGTAAAATAAATAATATAAAACAAATAAATAATTCAAAATTTCAACAAAAATATATAGTGAATGAATAATCTATGCTGAATATTTAAAAGCATTTTTTTTTTTATTTGATATAATTATTTATTTGATACAATAATAATAATTGTTTACTAACAATGATAGTAAAGATTATATGTATATTTATTGCATATACCTATGTATATCTGTTATATGTGTTCATACATATATATATATATATATATATATATATATATATATATATATATATATATATATATATATATATATATATATTTACCTTAACACTTATTCATACATACATATATATTTGACTACATATTCACATTGTTCTCTTTGCTTCTCTTTCAGATACACCTGTTTGCAAGCACACGGATCGCGTTATACTAATTGGTGCCTCCAAGGATGAGACTGTTGAGGTTGTATGCGAGATACAAGCGGATCCACCGCCACGGTAAGTTTTGACAGAAAAAAAAAAAAAAAAACAAGAAAAAAAATCGAAAAACAGCAAAAGAAAATTCATTGCTCTGCAACCCTTCCCGCGCCGCTGGCAAGGCTTTGTCTCTCCTTCTCTCTCTCTTTTTTTGTTATGTAGGCAATTGCTTCCGGTTTCCTGTTGCATGGAAGTTTGCTAAATTGACAAATGGCTGTATCTCTATATATATATGTGTGTGTGGGTGTGCGTGTGTCTGTGTGTTATTGCATGGGTAAGCGAAACGGAAAATGCTGTTTGTATGTTAGGAAATGTGCGAAATTCAGCAATATTTTGATTTGCCGGCACTTCAAAGCGTTGTCCCTGCTTGCCACGCCTTGGCTAATGTGAGGCACTTTAATTTATTTTAAATATGCAGCTGCCGCTACAGTGAGTGGAGCGCGAGGGGGTGGGTGTGGGGGTGAGGGAAGGCAGCTGCGCTGGCGCTCACTGCTGGACTCTGTTAATTCGCATTGCCACATTTGCCCCACTTTAATGTTTTTTTAATGAGCCAGCCGCCGCCTTCGCACCACAACGCACCGCTGTGGCCTGTCGAGCGACTTTATGCTCGTCTCGCGTCGTTCCTCTCCCTATGTTTCATTCTCTCTCTCTCTCTCTCTTTCTCTGTGCGTCTGTCCAGCTGCCTTGTCTTGTATATAATTTCAATTTTTCGTTCTGTTTTTCTCCTTTTGTTGTTGTAGGGCTTGCTATTTTCGTTGCTGTTGTTGCTTTTGTTGGTGTCTGTGGCTGCGTCTTGAGTTGACGCTTTATGCTAAAATAATTAATCATTAGCTGGCGCAAAATATGCGCGTTGTTACCGCTGGCAGCGCAGCTGCCCTATGTAATTGTTGTGGTACAGCTGCGAGAGCGGGCTCTAGGCGACGCGGGACGGGCTGCAGTGTGAGTGAGAGGGGCAAGCCTCGCCCGCGGCCGTTGCTCAGCTTGAGCGTTAAAAAAAACGGCTGCATACTTTTTAAGGCCGGCGGAGGGACTAGCTGCGCGCCGCTGGGCTAGCCCAAGGTGGGCGGCTACAAGTTAATTTATCAGCATTTAACTGCTTGACAGCGATGTCAGCCATTTTGTTGATCCTCTTTTTGTCGGCATTGCTTTTGTCGTGTGTAATTCTTAAATTAAAGTATCATTTCGTGAAAAATGCAAATCATTGGGTAGAGTAAGAATTAAAGCGGAAAATCTTTAAAAATGTAAATGAAGCTGAAAGTTGATTTTATAAGTATTTTCACTGAGAATAGAAATAGTACATTTATTATAAAATTTATTACTAAATGTTGCCGTTAAACTTTTATGTTAGTTTGCTGCAAGATTGTGATTGATTAATATTGAGTTTTTTTTTAACAGATATGCTATACTCGCTGTTAGTTCATGCTAACAGAGCGTAGTCGAGCACTAACATCGCTTTTCCGCTATGGATATCGAATTCATTTCCGACTTTACATAAGGAGCAGCATGAAGGGTTCGTTTAGTTCTGCTGCCAAAGTAATATAGCATCTTTCTGCTGTTAACACTGTTGCTCTCTTCTGTGAACATAAATAAGTTTAATGTTGTGCTGATTCATTGCACACTCTTACCGCTCTCTGGATGTTTATAGTGGAATCGAGCGATGGCATTTAACGGTGCTGTTAGCTCTAAGTATGTTCTTTTGTGTTCTGCTACGCAATCTTTTAGCGCATTTTGTCCGCTCTGTGGCTGTTAACTGGGCAATGAGAGTTGACCTTTAACAGCGCTGTTAAGCCTCTTCTCTTTTCAATTTTATGCTTCTGCAGATAGTTTATTGATTGATTTCATTACATATATTTGCATATAGTTATAAATAATTTATTAAAGCCGTGAGAAAAACTGAAAGCGTCCAACCGAATATGCCAGAGATAATTAACCTTTTAAGAGGCTTTTCATGTGCGAAGCGGAGTCAACTCTGTTCATCTACGGTGGTCAACTGTAATACTGTGTGTGTTTGTGTATGTGTTTAACCTTTAATATTTTAACGAGCCATTTTAAAAATGTAAGACTTTTCAAACATGCCTCTCTCTCTCTCTCCCATGTGACATTCGCCCATTGGCTGGACTGATGTTTCTGTCTTTTGCATGCGCTTGCCACTGACAACGCAACTGTCAAAATGTCAACGCAACACAAACAACAACAACAACAATAACAACACCAACAACAATGATAAAAATAAAACCAACAAACACATGCAGAACATTTCGCTGGAAATTTAACAACTCAGGCGAAACTCTGGACGTGGGCAGTGAACGATTCAGTGTGAATGGAAGCCGCAGCATTTTAAAGTACACTCCGGTTACAGATCAGGTAAAGGCCATCTACCTTGACCAATTAAGAAGCGTAGAAAAAACGTATATATATAAGTATATAAATATTTTTTTTACTTGACATATTTGCAGGACTATGGTACACTGTCCTGCTGGGCAGCTAACGAAGTGGGAACACAGCAGCATCCCTGTCTCTTTCAAGTTGTTTTAGCAGGTAATTCATCGGTAGTTCAACTACAGCTATATTAAGAAATATTCACATGAAAAGTTGCTATGTTTATTTATCTGTATATATCAGTTGTAGTATTTGTACATTCTGTGTTCTGGAGCAATGGCTCAGGCTTTTAATCTCTATTTGAGCTACAGAAATGCTCAGAGCACGAATGAACATAAGTGCGAGTAAGTGAGATGCACGACAGAGATTACAGAGGGCATTGCTGTGGAGAGTGTAAAATATAGCTCAGACACCATTATCACTCTTCGATGTAAGGAAATGGGCTGTTCTTAACAGACAGAATAACTTAACAGAGTGGAAATTGCTGTGGAGAGAGATGTCTGTTGTCTACAATCACTTATAGCATGCTTTTTGTTCTCACGCACTCAACAGCAGTGGCCGCTCTGTTAAGTGACGTTCTCTATTCCACTCTCACTCAGCTTACAGCGCTAGCGGATCAGCCATTGCTGTGGAGAGAGCGAAAAATGAGTCAACCATTTGCGATCTTTGTTCTGATTGGTCTGCAATGCAGCAGCGTAATGAGAGCTGAAGATATATAGGTGTGAGTGCAACAGATGCATGGCAGGCATCAGAGCGATAAAAGAAGTAGTTTGAGAGAGCAGATCGAAGAGTACAGAAAGTATTTGAGTGAGAGTCTTTGGGTGTATTCGTAGATTGCTCATTGCTGTTAACCGAGTGTGATACATCTGTTGTCTACAGTCTTAAAATTCAACTGCGATGCATATACAATATAAATACACCAAAGGCACCAGGCTATTTACATTCATTTGCATTGTTTAACCGTAGCAACTGATTTCTGTGTGTATATCTGCCCGCTGAGGGTTTTTCTTCTGGCCTGAACACGTTAAGGCCACAAGCAAACACTCATGGGCTCTCGCTGTAACAACAGAACAACTGTTCATTGCTCTTCTTTCCTGCTTTCTCGCTTTCTCATTCATGTTAACTTGCTGCACTATCTGTAAACATTGGACCACATAAATTCCGATTCCGACCATCTGGGCGCAGCTCTGCCAAATGGCGTCAGCAATTGCAGCATCTTCAATCGCACCGAACTGAGTGTTGACATACAATGCATACCCGGCTACGATGGCGGCCTGCCGCAAATATTTGTGCTCGAAATGTTTTCAACACGCACCGGCATTACCAGGTAAGCATATTAATCAGCTACACGTATAAACCGACAACTACAACAAACGGATGGGCACACACAAACACACACACAAGCACACACGTAGACAGACACAGGGAGACATAAAGAGCAAGCACGTTTTCCTCTGTGGATTGCTTATAAGCGGATTACGTTTGGGGAACTTTGCTTGGCTGCCACCCCAAGGCTCAGCTTTTCAGCATATGTCAAAAAAGTCAAATATGCGATTAAATATAACCTGAGGTTAATCAAACTGCGTTGCAAGTGTATTAATAACATAAAAGAAAAAGAAAAAGAGTTGAGAAAACTAAAAAAAAAATGCATAACTCCTACAAATTTATAAACTGTGTGAATTTAAGTGTAGTAAGAGTTTCTTAATGTTACATAAATATCGAATAGCTACGTACGGGGCGAATACGTAATAATGCAAACATATATACAATATATACATATATACTACTCAATGGCTTCGAAGAATTTCATTTGTATTTGGTTTTGTATTTGTTTAACAGTTCAATGCCTGAATATCTATAGAAACTCATTTATAAATATATATATGTGCATATAGAGATGCTTATTTACATAAAATTTATAAATTAAAGATATATTTATAATGGTCTCCCATGCCCACGCCCGCATCCACCACATCCCCACACAATGGGGAGAACTTCTTTCTGCATTTGACAGCCTCCCGAATGCGATATTATTCAATATCAGTTTCAGTTGGACAATTGCGAAGCGACAGCAAGAGGGAGACAGAGAGGCAGGAGGCGAGTCAAAAGCGACTACACCTCCTGCTCTTAGCAGGGGCGAGTGTGTAATTAGGCGTAAAAGAGAGGGACTTCGGGCCAAGTTGCTTCCATTCCAAACATTTTGCCAGCGCAAATCAACAATTTATATGCATGTCAAATGCGTGTTTAAAAAGATGCGCATTTTATTACCGAGCTCAAGCCCAAAAAGAATCGAATCGTATTCATATGCACACACACACACACACAGACACACCCACACACAGATTACATTATGCGGCAGGCAATGTATAAATTTTCTCGAAACGAATCGAAGCAAACCCGCAAACATTTAATAAATATTGCTTATTAAAACAATGCCAAAATGGCCTGAGGGGAGATGTGTTGTTTGGGCAGCGGGCAGCAGCTCCAGAAAAAATATCAAAGGACCCTCATTCAAAGAGATTGCGCTAAAACGCAACAAACGTCCTCATCAATGTAAAAATGTTTGTTGATGTAAATGGCATATGAGGAAGAAGAAGAGAGTAGAATTTGCTGGGCTAAGATGAACTTTTAATGCTCTATAAAATTGATAGAGCAGAATGAAAATTATGTAGAGAGAATATGACATGAGATATAGAGATATAGAAAAACTTAAATATATATATACAAAGAATAATGAAATATGAAATAAATAATGAATTATAATTTGTGTAAAAGAAGAGAAATTATTGCTGTTAAATATATATGCCTCCATTTATTCAGGGTATTCCTTATGCTTTCCATGTCTTATTTGATTTATGCTAAGGAAAATAATAAACATTTTTATAAGAAGACAACATTTTTGGCTCAATTACAATAATTATAAATTCAGACTCAGTCTTCGCTCAGTGTATTACGTATTGCTTCATGAATCTCTAATACCTCAAGCTGAGAGCATTCCAGGGGATGAAAAAATGATGCAAAATGTATGTAGACATTGAACCCTAATATTTCAGAGTTTGCCAAAAAATAAAGAGAAGAAAAAAATAAAAGAGAAGACAGGAGACAAGAGACAAGTGAAAGCCGCAACGAGGCAAAAGCCATCAAATTTAAATTGAGGTCATGATTGGAGCAATGCTTCGGTTAGATTTGGGCTTCGGTTCGGTGTGTGTCTGGGGCATTGGGCGGGCTGTGGGGGTTTTCGCTTAATTTGGGCCGCATAGTCCAAGCAGAAATGTAAAAGGCGTAAGCTGCCAAAAAAAAAAAAAAAAAGGAATCTATATTTATATATAGATATAAGCCAGAGGGTTTCAGTGCCAAGCTGACATTTGATTGCACATGATTAAGGGCTTAGAGCTGTTGATTTGCCATGCTGATTTAATAATACATAATGATGATAGTAATAATACGAATGTGTATGATGACGCTCTAAATCTTTGCACAGATTCAATCTGAGCAACGCGGAGGAGGCGCTCTTCTCGCTGGAGAATCTGGACACGCTCACCTCGATGATGATGCAGGAGAACAACTCGTTGAGGCTGCGCATTTATTCCTACAATCAAAAAGGACGCAGTGCAGCATATCTGTTGCCCGATTTCATAATTGGTTCAACGGCTTACAAGACAGGTGAGTGGCACGCAACATAACAAACACACACACACACACACTCATTCACTTACACACACAAATACACTCGACTGGCTAGGCTTGATTGATGGATGGGAATTGTTGGGCTGCTACTTGCATTTGACACGGAAAAGCAGCCTCTGAGAGCATAGCCCACCCGAGTCAGCTGCTTTTCAGTGATTTCATGTTTTAATCCCAGGCCAGTCTTGTTGTTGTCTACTCGCCTACTAGCAACTCCACATATGGCAGCGACACTTGACAGGTACTAGTACTCACATCTGAAGTACTCACATAATCAACAAGCCCGACTTCTGCTTGGGCCACCCTCTGCTGCCCTGAAATATGTGCAAAATTGCTTTCAGATCTGCCAGCTGCACTGCAGCAGCATCAGCAGGAGCAGCAGTAACAAAATATCGTTATATTATATATACATATATACATATGTATGAAGTAGTTAGTTATTCCATTGCTCATATTCCATTGCACAGACGAATAACAAATATGTGAGTATGAGTACGACTTTAAGGAATGCTGAGCTTAAGCTATCTGCATAATATTCATTCAAAGCTGATTTTCAATGCATAAAGCATTGATTAAACTACGCTATAAAGCAGAAAGCTGCAATAGAGAAATCAAACTAAAAAAAAATATCAATAAAATAAAGAAAATAAATTGAAATACAAAACTAAATACAATATAGAAGGAAAAAAAAAAAAAAAAAAAAAAAAACAATTAATTAAAAAGAATATCAAAGAGCTGCAAAAAAAAAAAAAAAATACAAAAAATACAAAATAGGAAAAAAATTCTAAAAAAATTAAATAAATAAAATATATATATATAAAAAAAAAATAAATAAATAAATAAAAAAAAAAAAAATAAAATAATTATATAAAAAATAAATAAATGGTAAATAACTAACATGAAATAAATATAAATAAATAAAAAATAATAATAATAATAAATTAAAAACAAAAAATAATAAATAATTAAAATTAAATAAACATATATTAAGTTAAATGTATATAAAAAAAAAAATAATAATAATTATTAATAAAACAAAAATAAAAATAAAAACATGCCAAAGTTTTCTAAATTATATTTTCTAAAGGGATATTCCCTCTTATATTAATATTCGCTGCTAGATAAGTTTTCAGCATGTCGAATTGCTGAAATTATAGTCTTAGTAATCCTATTCAATCCCAAATCTAATGTAATAGGCATAATGATAAGCTAGGTATTATTTTTCCAATTTCAAGTTGAGTCTTGCAGTTGACTTAATACAATAAACAAGCAAAGCAATCTTTTAATATATACTATTATATTTAATCATATTTTCCAAGCCAAGCAGTCTTTCAAGACACATATAATTATATTTTACCCAGAATTTTGTGCAACTCGCTCCACTGTGCACCGTGTCTTGTAATATAAATATAACTCACGTTCACATTACTAAATTTCTAATCATATGCTGCTCACACGAATCGCCTAAAAATAAAACTGTCAAACGTTAAATTGAATGGAAATGGCATACACACTCACACACACCCACACACAAACACACACACACACACACATGATGTCCATGTGTGCTATTTGCGACGACCGATGGCAATCTATCTAAAATTGACGATGATTTATGACCGACGATTGTCAACCTGCAATTACGACAATAACTGATGACAACAATAATACCGATAACACACAGACGACGATGTGACGCTAACGCTGTCGCCGGTGATTGTTGGCAGCGTTCTAACCATCATAATTATTGGGGTGGCCATCGCGATACGCATCTTTGTGGTTACATTCGTGCACAATCTGCGACGCAATCGCCAGCACGGCAACAAGGCGACGGCAGCGGGCGTGGTCACCCAAGCGGGCGACGTCTTCAAGGTGAGTGTGAGAAAAGGAAGATTCATTTTTCCACCTGCTGCCACTTTTCACTTTTCACTTTCCACTTTCGACTTTCCGCTCTCCACTTTAGCTATTTTGCTGATTTGCCATGCGCATGCAATTAATAATGTTTGATGACATTTTGCAGAGCAACAACCTGGAGAAGCCACGCTGGCAGCACACGGACATCAAAACGAAATCATCTGAGGATTTGGTCGAGGATGAACGTGATCCAGATGTTATACCCTCACAATATGGTAAGTACCCTTACTCTTCGAGTAACTCAGCTAGCTCAAGTTATTAACAAAGATATTCATCAAGATGGAAATTACTTTGTTTATCACTAAACTCGAATTCCGATTCAGATAGTTTTAAAGTGTATCCAACATTCGACTTGACATTCACACTGCCATTTTGGGGCTCATTTTGATATTTTATAGTGCATGTTGAACTTTAATCAAATTCTTATGACTACTTTTCCGCCATTTACTTTCCATGTGCCTGTGTCTGGCTTTCCTGACTTTTGCTGTGCGGACAACGCGTAATCGTAATCAATTCCATCAACATAACAATACGACCAACAACAACTACTACAACAACATCAACCACCTCGGCAAACCAACCCGAAACGGAACCAATAACCAATCCAATCCAATCCAATCAACGGATGCAATTTTCTTTTAATCGTAAATATTTTTAACGATGGTATCTGCCAATCTAAAACGCAACCGCATCCTCACATGGTAACTCCTGCTCGGACCCCCGAAAATCGTGGCAACGCAACATCAATAAATTTCAATCGCACAGTTGGCGGCAGCAGCGCCGGCAGCAGCGGCAGCAATGCCTCCAATGTCGGCAGCACCACAGCCACCGGCACCGCCACCGGCAGCAGCACATCGACAGCGGTGGCTGCTGCTGTCCCTGCAGCCGACCGCGATGCGCATCAGTTTGCGGCGACAACAGCCTCAGCTACAGCATCTGCATCAGCATCAGCAACAGCAGCAGCGGCAGCAGCTGCAACGCCATCGGCTGCTGGACTCGTTGGCAGCATTTCCAAATGGTCACCCAATGGCAATGTAAGTAGCTCCCTTGACGTCTTTACCAAATGAGCAATAACTGTTTTTTGTTGAACTGATAAGGATTTTAGGATTTATTATGGATCAGTGAAGCCAAATGAAGCTGAAGAGCTAAAGAGTAATAATATATATCATATATATTAAATTTATGTACATATTATTAGACTAAAGTCTAAGCTGATTAGTACAAACTCTGCTGCAGGCATAATTCAAATTAATAATAGCTATAACCTGTCTGAAGAAGGCTTTAAATGTGTTTAATTATATATGAGCTTTTCTAAACTTGAATTATTTGACTTAACCTGACATGACATACTTTTGATATAATAAATTGTGTGTTTGCAAAATCAAATATATGTATGCTTGAATCTCATCCATACACAAGCTCAATGGACCTTAATTTAGAATATACATTGATTCGGCTGGAGAGTTTAGAATCACTAAATATTTAATTAAATTCGGCTAATATGTAAATCAAATAATCAAATGCGAACTGAGCTGAGATTAATGTGTATATAGCAATCCCTCATTTCATCATTTGTGTGGCATTGAAAATCAATCGATTAATTAATAATCAAAATGAATTAAACCTGGCTTACAAATTTCCATATAGGTTATATATGTATGTCTGTTTTTTATACCTTGAACCCATTCAAAATGGGAAATCAGGGTATAATGGTTTTGTTAAAAGTATGTAACAGGCAGAAGGAGGCGTAGGAGACCCCACAAAGTATATATAATTTTGATCAGGGCGACGAGCTGAGTCGATTTGGCCCTGCCCGTCTGTCTGTCCGTCCGTCAGTCCGTCCGTATTCATGAACTCGTCGATCTCAGAAGATATAAGAGATAGAGACTTGAAATTTTTTTCCTAGGTCCGTGTATATCACGCGCATATCGAGTTTTTCTCTAAATATCGATAACTACCCCCGATATTTTTTTATCGATTAAAACCCTTAACGAAAGCTAGTTATTTAATTATATGTCCTACACCTTTAGAGTTAGAGCTTCCAAATATTAAATGTAAACTTACAATTTCGGTTTTTTTTTTTATTTTAATTTTAATTTACCCCTAACCCCCATATTCACCGTCTCACCAACACCTTTGTAAAAGGCGTATTTCCTATACTAGAGTCGTATGCTTTGGCAAATGCATGCATATTCATGTTATAGCCATGATGAAAGTACATCCACAAGAAAAGTTATTGAGCAATTAAGTTCCCATAGTAAGCAACCACTGCAGCCAATGCGTGTTTATGCGTGCGTGCGTATGTCTGTGTATGTGCGAATAATTATTGAAATATCAGTAGCTCGAAGGGTTCAGGGGATCTCGTAGTCGAGCAGTCTCGACTAGAGCTTTCCTACTTGTTCAGATTAAGCAAATGGATAAAATTAAGCACCATTGCGTTTGAGCAATATCCATATGGTAATCTATATCTGCTTTCTCTGTAGATATTGTGAGCCTCAAAGTTTTGAAACGATTTAAATATACAAAATTCTCTGCTTTATATACATTCAATTGGAATTTATTGAGAATGAACCTCTAGTAATATAATTGAATAACTTTATCTCGAGCCAACTAGACTCGCATATTTGTGCATTTCTGTAGTTGGCTGTCAGAATTTATAAGCATAGGCAAAAGAGAATTAAATTTGCCTCTTTGCAAGTGCAAAGGGAAAAGGGAAAGCTATATGAGCATCAGCAAACTGTGGAATATAATTAAAATGGGCAATCCAAGCGAAACAGGAATTGCTTGGAGTATGAGCAAAAAGTGATTGAAGCAGCAGCTCGACGATTGCCTTGACATTTGCATTGCCATTTGATTGGCTCGGCCTTTGGCAATATTTTTTTGCTAGCTTTGAGGGTCTCGAATTACGGCCTCGTGTCAGGTTCATATTTTGTTGGTTATTATTAGCCACGTTGTCAATTTCTCGGTTCCACTTTCATTTATTGGGGCTTTTGGTTAGTTTACACCGAAAAACCAATCAAATACTCAAATTGCCAAATTGCTAAACAAAAGTGTGGATAACCGCAGCACGGGCATCAAATTCCAATAAAAAATAAAATAAAATAAAACCCCAAGCCCCAAAAACCTCAAACCGAAAGCCCCAAAGCATGCCAAGGGGTGTTTATTAAAAAAAGCTTTTAAACTGTCAGAGCGGACGCATAGCCGCTCACTCTTTCACCCCTCCACTCCACTCCCTCATGTCCCTTCCACCCTGCTCGGGAGTTATAAATAAAAGCCATTGACTAAGTCCCGGGATAATGCGGCAAGCATTTCTGCATTGCAACCAAACAACAGGCAACTGGTAAGAGGCAACAGGCAACAGGCAACAGGCAAGAGGCAACCAGCCAAGAGCTAGAGCGACAAGGTAATTGCAAGCTACGCTCCTTATTTCGCCCGATAACAAACCCAATACATCATGTCGAGCTAGCCATAATCAATCAATATTCTCAGTATTTTTATATTGCTAACACACAGTCTGTTGACTGAAGGGGAGCGGCAGAAGGGCACGCACGGGACTTTGTGACCGTAAATCAGTTGAATGTGATTGAATGTGGAATGGAAAACTTTCGCTGAAATCTTGAATATGCAAATTTGTCATGGTTAAATGGGATGAGAGCGAGAGAGGGATAGGCGGTAACGGGAAGAGGATAGGGTGAGTGAGTGGGAAAGAAAGAGAGGGAGACTGTGAGTGACAAAGAGAGAGAGAGAGAGAGAGAGAGAGAGTGAAATTGAGAGTGAGAGTAAGTGAGTGAGTGAGACAGACAGACAGCGAATGAAGAGAGTGAAGAGGGTGGGAATGAGGTAAAATGAGTGTGAAAGTGAGAGAGAAGAAAAGGGAAAGTCACTGGGAATAAATTTACCGATGAGAAGAATGTGGCATATAGCAGGAAACGTAATTGACTAAGCGATGTCGATCAGAGGAAAGCCGATCTGGCTATGCGACAGTTTGTTTGTCTGTCCAGTCGTCTGTCTGCGTGTCTCTTGCAATTCTTAAAAGCCCAAAGATTTCAAAGGTATTCGTAGGTGCTTCAATTGCAGGTTTGCTTTACTTAGCTCTTAGTTTTATCAATCTATTCAAGTTCTCAAACCCTAAAAGAGTTAGCTCCTGACTAGAACACTTTAACTGTAATTTATTTTAAATTTTATAAATCATTATCACTACAATACTTTCATAAATTTAATAAATATTTGGAATTTAATTGTGCATATGTAACGGAAATAAGTTTTATCTTATATAGAAAATATTTCTAAAACAATTGACACCGTTTTCCCAATTCCAATGTGTGAAGCTTATATAAAATATTCAATTTCTCTCTTCTCATCTTTTTTGAAAAACCAAAAACAAATAAAACATTTATATACAATTATGATTTTAACAAATGCATAAATTGGGGACAACGAACGTGTTTGCACTATTTATTAGTTCTATAAATTATTCCAAAATTGTATTTGGTGCTGTTGTTGTTGTTGGCTTTAATTATGAATGCGGGATAGGAGCATCTGCGCATTTGAAGCGCCCGCTCAACCATTTGTTTTCATTTCATTAAATTTGCAATTAGAGTTCATTTATGGATTTTGATTTCGACTGGTCGAGATGGCCGAGATTAACATAAGCTGTTCCGAGTGCGATTAGAGTGCTCCCTGCTCGTGACCATATGTGCATGTTGACAACAGACCAGAGAGCAAGCCATATCTCTCTATAATATACCATATATATTCCATATGCATATGAATAGTATTGCATTATATGCAAATAGAATATCCTGCATGCATTTTACTAATCTAACCTGAAAGCTGAAACAGAACAGAACAATAAGCCCATTCGCAGCGCCAAACCAAAATAAATGTCGAATAAGTAGCAATGGGGTGTGCTCGATCAAGACATACTCTGTAGGTAAAGAAATGAGTGCCGAACAAGCAGACATGTTTACTTTGAAAGTAAATAATTTGAGCTGTTATGAGCCAGACACATGCAATGCAGCTATTTTAGGATTGTTGTGATGTACTCAAATATACCCAATATAACGAACTGAAGTCTTTTTATGTGATGTTCTTGACCTAAATATAGCGTGACACTAAGTAAATTAAGTGTTACAGGTCCAGACATAAGTTTAGTAAATAAATAAATAAAAAAATAAATAAAAATAAATATATATATAAATAAATAAATACATAAAAATAAATAAGTATATAAAATATAAATAAATAAATATTTATATTAAACACGTTGAAATGCTTTAACAGTTTGGGCTCCCCTACAACATACCCTGCTCTGACATATGAGGTTCAAGCACATTCAGCCTCGAGACAAGTTTATGCACAGGTAGAAAGGTCCAGCAAATACCCTGTAATCAGTAACCCTCTAGGATCCGAATAAAAAGTTTCTTACAGAGACGGCTTTTATGATGTAATAATTTAATGACAGATGCCTAACGAAATAGCTTCAGCATTTAAATTTTAATTAAACCGATAAAGCAAAATCTTTATGAATTTATATTCATATATACCCTACAATATTTATTCACTGCAATAGGCATATAAGTTAAGAAAAAAAGTACGTGTTCCGGAGATAAACAGCAGTCTGGGCTGCTGGGTATTGCAGTGGGGACTTGGGGCAGCCAATGGAGTTTGGCTGCACTGATGTCAATTACATTTAAATTACCAGCAGGCAGTGTTGGGGCGTGGCTCATGGTGCGTTGCCCATATTGGGCATAACTCAATTCGTTAATTAAATATTTTTAAATATGGGCAAACATAACAGAAACAGGCGAATCGAGGAAAAATCTGCAACTCAACAGCAGCAACAGCAGCAACAGCAGCAGCAGCAATGCAATTCAGCAATTTGGTAATCGCATCGAGAGATTTTCAATTAGAATTTTCAATTAAACTGCCAAAAATAAAAGAAAATAAAGAAATATATTTTTCGATAATTAAACATTCGCTTTTCATGCTCTCACAACATTTCGGGGCAATTTGGATAAAAATGTGAATACGCTTGAAATCATAATAGGATTAAAGTTCATTAAGCACAATATAAATGAATCTGTGAACACAACATCACACAGATACGATAATATGTGGTTAGCATAGATTTATTAAATACCGAATAATAAAATAAATAATAGCATTAAATTATATATAGTTTATAACAAGTGATTTGCGAAAAATTTAAAAGCTAAATAATGAGTAATTGCTCTACGTGAAAATGGAGTACAGTAGAATCCAGTTATAACGATAACTTAAGATATTGAATCTGCACTTTGACTGCTTGGTTTTGATAAATTTAATTTTAGCTAACTCTTCTGCTTGAACAATGAATCATGTTGAACCAATCTATTTATATTATGCCCAATCTATAGCAGCTAGCTTTATCAACTGCCATGAGAAAGTGCATACAAATTTCACATGAAACAGTTTTAAAATGATTTAGCCACGTTACATTGGCAAATTGTTAAAATGCCTTTGCCAAAATGTGGCGCAACTCAGGCACAAATATCAGAGACTGTAGCTGGTTTAGAATAGCAACTGAAAACTTTCCAGTTGAGCGATTCTTTTCTAACTTTTCCATGCACATCTATGCTTGCAGGCGCCGGCCATGACGACGACTACAGCGCTGTCCAGTGATCCGGCGAATCCGCCGGTCACCTACAACCAGATCAATGCACAGCGAGCGCAGCTGCTGGCCGCCGTCGCAGCGGTGGGAGGGGGCTGCAGCAGCACCGTCATCTCGCCCAGCAGCAGCATGATGGGCAGCCTGGGCATGGGCATGGGGATGGGCATGAGTGGCGGTGGCGGGAAGCCATTGACACTGGGCATGGGTGGCACCATCATTGGATCGCCCACATCGCTGTCCTCAACTGCGACGCTGGCAGCGCATTTGCAGCCGGCGCACAGCAGCGGCGTGGGCACTCTGCCGCCCGGCCTGGGCAGCGGCGGTGGGTATATACTGAATGCCTATGCCAGTGGCAGGCTGCAGCATACGCAGGGTCACACGGCCACCTTGAATCGCCATCATCATCATCAGCAACAGCAGCAGCAGCAGCAGCAACATCATCATCATCAGCAACATCATCAGCCGGGCTCCGGTTCCAGTTTGCTGCTGGGCAGCGTGGGCAGCGTTATGGGCGTGGGCGTGACCTCGACAACAACCACCTCGTGCAACTCGTCACAGGATTTGGATGACAACATCAACATAAATGCGATTAAGGATTGCCTCATGACGCAACGTGTGCCCGAGAGCTGCGTCTAAGTCGTCTAGACGCAAAATCTACGACTATGGCGAAGCAGACGTAAGCAGCTAGACCTAAACCTAGACTAGATAGTCAGCTAATCGTGTTAATCATATACATATACATATACACTGATAGATATATATGTATATACGTGTGTAAGTAGTTCTATGTATATATGAATATGTTATAGTTCTGTTCTCGTTAAGGTGCTGTGCATAGCTAAGTTCTATTCTATTATGACCATCTGGCCTATCTTCCGCATAGATTTCGAGGCATATCCTTTTCCAATATCAAAAGAGAAATATCGATAGGCGCATATCCAAAGATTAGTTATTGAATCATATCAATGTATGTATATGTATATCTGTATATTTGAGAATATAAATGCGACTCAGTCAATAAATCGAAAATTTATCGATACCATATCGATTAAAGGATATCATTTAAAACAAATAAACTGAAAATTCTCTACATTTACATTACCAGGAAAAAAAAGTGTAGAAAAGAAAAATAGAAAACTATAAATAAAAATCAGTAAAAATTAAAATTAAAATTAAGGCAACTTCTAAAAGACTCTGAAACTTAGTAGAAAAATTTTATTTGTAGCAAAAATGTTCCCAGCAAAAAAAAAAAAAAAAAAAAATTTGAAGAAATTGGAGTTAGAAATATTACGATTAAGTCAACTTGTAAATAAATAACCTCTTGCATAGTCAAATACTTGTATAAAGCAAACATTTATTTAGACTACGATTTTTGTTGTATTTGTATGTATATTTAGATATGGCCAACAGCTAACTGTAAAGGCAGTTCGATTCGGTGTGAGTGTACCCGTTTATGAAATCGGGAATGTCCTGCATAGTAAAAGTAAATCTATATATATATAGAAAAGGTAATGATAATGCAAATTGTTAGAGCGCATTGCGCTTAAGCAGAATTTAGTGACAGAGTTTTAAGTTTAAAGAAAGTGTGTTACGCTAAACAAAAGGAAAATCTATGCATATAAATTGGTAAATAAATTAACTAAGTCATCAGAAATGTGACAAAAAATAAGAATACTAAGATAAATGGTAAAAATAAAATTATTAATTATTACAAAAAATATACAAATTCATTTTGTTTTAGTTGAGTTGCGAATTAGAAATGCAAATCAAGGGAGATTGTGAGAGGGTATGGGTAAGTAAATTGTATTTATATATTATTATAGAATATGCATAGTTTACCAGAAGTATTGATACATATTTAGATTACAATTTCAATATTTGTCTAATTATAAACCTTGCATTCATTATTTATTTATACTTTAAAAATCCAGCTTGACATATTCAAACTGAAAACACGTTCAGCAATTTGTGATTTTCTCTCAGTTTAAACAACTTAGGTAAACTCTTAAGCAAACTCTTTGTAACTTATTGATTAAATATAATCAATTAAAACGAAGCAGGTATCTTTAGTTTAGCAGCTCTTGCTGGTCTCCCTCGGCAATCAAAAAGTTGCAGCTTTCTTATTCATTTATCACACGTTCAAATATAATTTTGGGTGACCCACATCCACAGCTGGACCAATTAAAACCGCTGCTCAAATACGTGCCACAGCTCTGGGGGCGCCAAAACCACAGTTGGCCAACATACCACACTTGATAAGCCGCAGGAGCTGTCGAGGAGGCAAGCCAAGGCCAGTGTGTGTAAGAGAGGGAGATAGAGAGAGAGAGAGAAAAAGTATTTTAAATTTCATATGGTTTGGACTCGGCTCATTAGCAAATCAAATTTATACAGGACAGGAGAGATATTTCTGGCCAGCTCAGCAGTTCGAAAAGTAACCCAACCACCCAACCACCCAATTGACGAACCAGCCGTGGTTGACCACACGAAACTTTTTGGACTGTAGCAAAATTGACAGGAAAAGTGAAACTTGCCTTTGATTTGTGGCCGTGCCATGGAAATGTGCCTCAGCCGACAAGTTTTTCGGATTCATTTGGGTTTTGGATAATTGGAAACCGCGCTGACAGCTCGCCCACAACCCTCTAGCTCATGAGTGTCCATTTTTCTTGTGTGTGTGTGTGTGTGACTTACATACACATACACAAACAACCATTTGTATGGCTGTTAACCTATATAGCAACACCAATTGACACCAAGGCAAACATGTGGCGCAATCTACTTATATATAATTATCGAACTTGTTTGTCATACTCAAATTCTCGATAAATATAGTGTGTGTCAGCACAAATCATAATTTCCAAATTGTTGTACTCCAAAAAGCCTGAAAATTAATTAACGAGTCTAGAACAAACAAATGTTACATCATCTGCTTTCATTCACATAGCTAATTTTTGTAATTCTGTAATTAGAATTTGAATTTGATATGTGTTCAAAGAGTTCATATAGCATATATTATATATTATATGGAGAGATAATTGATTTGGTTGTAATCTCAATCTGCCGCTGATTTCAGCACATTCATATCTGTCTGCTCGACTGGGCTGGGCAGCCCATATATAGTTATCAAGCTCGCAGCTCAACTAGCTCTAGTGCTCTCCTAATTTATCTAGATACATATATCTATTACACAATCCAGGCTAGAGCGGGCCACTTCAATTCACTTCCGTTACGATTTTGCTGACTTCCGTTTGCACATTTACGCCAGTGTTGGCATCGCAGGCGCGTCTAATAGAAAACTGTTCACACGTGCTGCAAATTACACAGTTTGAAATGCCAACCACTCGACTAGCCCAACATACAAAGCAGACACACACACAGACACACACACACACAGACACTCAGTCCGTGCGGTCAATAAATGTAAATAAAATGGACGCGAATGCCTATCCCAAGCGCCACGCCCCATTTGTCAGCGGTTATCTGAGCAAAAACTGGGCAGACAGACAGCAAGAGCGAGGGAGATAGAGAGAGAAAAAGAGAAGGCAGCTTTTATAGAAATTGCATAGCAAAAATTGTAACAAAATTATGCAGGTAATTTATGTATTTGTTGTTGTTGTCTTTCTGTGGTTCCATTTTTCCATTATTTTATTTTATTTTTTTTCGTTGCGCTTTTATCGATTTTCGCCCGTGTGAAAATTAAATTCCCATTTGAAGCTGCTCTGGCCCGACTATAAAGTTTTGTTAGACGTCCCTCCTCCCGCTCCCATGAGCGCCGACCGACCGAAATTGAATTGAAGCGCGCTGTATAAATCAGCGGCTCAATAAAATCTAATAGTCCCGGGCAGATTGCGGCTCGGCACGCACCCAAAAAAAAAAAAAAAAAAAAAAAAGAAAACAAAAAACCTCAATGAGAGTCGCGCTGCCTGGAACTTTGGGTACGAGCACATAAATTAACAGACGCTGGTGACGAACATTCGGCAACAAGGACGTGAACGTCGTCCTTGACAGTGGCAACGGCGCCGTACAACAAAAACAACATAGCAGGGAACAAGGGACCAAGGGACCCCAGAGATCCTTGATTAGCCGAAACAGTCATGCCCTAGTTAACTGAATTCATTTTAGTTTATGCATTCAACGACAAAATATATGTACATAGACGCCTACATTCGAGCGGGAATCTGTTTTTCCCATAATGCATATCCATAGAAGTCAATTATATGTCAGTATGTGTGAATGGGAGAGCAGAATTGTTTTTAGTTAGCTATTAGGTTTAGATAGTGTTGTTAAGAAATTTCATTAAATATACTAATTGAGTGAAGAAGTTGAAGAATTGAATGGGAAAATTTCTTTTTTAATAGTAGTGAAGAATTGGTTCAGAGTTGTAAGAAACATATATAAGAGTGTTGGTGAAAGCTATATGAATTTTGCATGTAAAAAATAAATTGTATTATATTGCCTTTTTATTTATTTCATAATAAAAATTAAAATTAACTTATCTTGCATTGTTAAATTCAAATATTTGTATCATTTTTTTAATTTATTATATTTATCTTACTGATTTTTTTTTTTTTTTTTTTTTTTTTTAGTTAAAGAAGTTTTTAAGCTTAAATGATCTTTTGATATATTTATTTTAGTTAATGCTCAATTAAAGTTTTAATGGATTTACCTTTAAAGGGTTTTACATAAGTATATCAAATAAATATATATAAAACTAAATTCCTTTCGAAGTATGTATGTACCAAATGTAGATACATAAACATATAAATACAAATTTGTATCGTGGGTAAATAATCTTTCAAAACTCCTCACTCCAAATCTTTGTATTGTATAGAAGCAAAGCAATTAGGAATATCAGGGAATATTCTCAGCTCTAGCAAATCTCATAAGAAATTCAATAGAGTCCCTTTGACCAGGGTATGCAAAGGGCAACTGAAGCCGTTTAGCAAATTAACTAATGACCCCATATTAGGTGCCAGGAATCTTAGCGGGCGGGAGTTGCTTCAATCAAGGGGGAAGTTGGTCTGTGTGTGTGTGTGTGTGCTGGAGGATGGGGGAAGCATTAGGAAATGTTGGCTCGCGCGTTTGTTTAATTGTCGTGCGACCCGCTTTTTGCTCGTTTTAATGAGTCAATTTAAATTCCGATTTCGATTGTGGGACAGCCACACACACACACAGACACACAAGCACACACACAGAGAGAGCTCGCAGCTGACGTTAGTCTGCGGGCAATCGATGTTCATTAGCAGAAGGCGCCGCCATGCCCACAAAACAAGAAGAGGCAGCGGACGAGGAAGAAGCAATGAGGTTTTTATCAGTCACAATTAGCTAAAGCTTTAATGTTGCAATTGCTTTGTGGCTTTAACTAATAAAAACAACTCGAGTATCGAGCTATTAGTTTAAATAAATATATAAAATAAATATTATATTTTTGGTTTGGTTTACAATATTTCAATTTATTTTTAATTAAAAACTAGCCACAGTTTTTGTTAGCTAAATTAATGCATGAAACATTTGCAATTTAAAGCTAATTACGATTATCTAATTGGACTAAAGGGTATTATGATGCACTCTATGGATTTGTAACGTGGGAAAGCCCATTTATAGAATTAAATATCAAAAGATTTATATTTTTGGCATAATAAATATTTTCTGTACTTTTTTCTAGAATTTATAAATTATTTATTTAATATAAAATAAATGTATATTAAATTAATAAAAACATTCACAAAATAGAAATAATTATACTTTATATCCCTAGTAAAGGGAAAATTATTTGAATCTATATTTTCTTCATATATTGATCGATCGTTATGTCACATAAGTACACAATAATTATATTCGAATTATATGATATATAAATTTTATATACACACAAAAATGCATATATATTAAAGTATTCCTTAGTCAACCTCACTCAATGAGCTTTTCTCTTTATAGTTTTTGCTATTTCTATATATTCATAGCAGCTCTAATTAAAACATCAGAGCTTTATTATTTGATTTATTATAAGCATATGACGCACAGCAACTACAACAACAACCACAACTGACAAACGCATGTGTAATTGCATATTTGAACTCAATTAACCGTTGACTTGACCGCGCAAAATTTATAAAGGGTTCTGCAAAATGTCAAGCGCGCAGAAAGAGCGAGCCAGAGAGAGCGACAGAGAGAGAGAGAGGGAGAGTGGAGCTGGTGGGCTGGGTGGTCGTCTGCCATAAATTTCATTCTACGCACTCAGTCAACTTGACCCCGAGCGTGCGAGAGAGCGACAAGGATATTTTGTTAAGCGCAGCGCTGCATGAAATGAAATTTAGCGCAACGGCCTCTTTCCATACTTTGTGTGTTTTTATTTAGATTTTTTATTTTGCCTTTTTATATACATATGCTGGCCAAAACAATTTATGGCTAAGCGCGCAAGTTGCCCTAAAAATGTATATATGTATGTATATATGTTTTATAAGGCTTGCATGCGTAGATGTGCACACACACATATGTATGTATACATGCA